TGACACATGGCCAAGATTGTTGCAGTTGGAAAAGAGTACAATGTGATGAAATTACTAGCCAGGTTGTTGGGCTTGATCTCAGTGAAAAGTTCTACTCACTTGAGTAGAGCTTTTCTGTTGTGTTAGTGGCTAATGAAGTGCACTCTTGTTTGCTTCAATCGAAATATCTGAATCACTTGGACTTAAGCGGAACCTCTTTTAACAGAAACCCAACCCCAAAGTTGTTTGGATCGATGGCACGACTAAGGTATCTCAATCTGTCTTATGCAGCATTCAGTGGAATAGTTCCCCATCATCTTGGAAATCTTTCAAGCTTGCGTGTTCTTGATCTTAATTTTAATTTTGAAGTAACAATAGATGATTTCACATGGGTTTATCGCCTTTCATCATTGCAATACCTCGACTTGAGTTACATCAATCTTAGTCAAATGCAAAGTTTACACAAAGTGCTAAACATGATTCCTTGTTTACTAGAGTTGCATTTATCATATTGTGGACTTGATAACATTCATTTATCTCATATGCATGTGAATTCTACTATTTCTAATGTTCAATACTTAGACCTTAGTTTTAATTCATTTGAAGGAGAACTTCCGAGTCACTTCAGGAACATGACTTCTTTAAGAGTCCTTGATCTTTTTGGTAATCAGTTTAATTCTTCTATACCTCTCTATCTGGAAAAGCTTAAGAGCCTTGAACATCTCAATCTTGGCTACAATGCATTTCATGACGTTGGTGCGATGTTGAGTTTAATGTCAAATCAATGTAGTTGAGATCATTTGATATGAGTGGCAACAGATTTGACAAAGAAATGTTCATTTCTTATGGAAATTTGTCTAGTTGCACCACGTACAATTTAGAGACATTGTGTTCAAGAGGTAATAGTTTCATTGGTCATTTATCAAATTGGGTGGGACAACTTGAGCATTTGAAATACCTTGATCTTTCAGATAACTAGTTTAATGGTCTGATTCCAACATCGTTGGTACAACTTAAGCATTTGAAATACCTTGATCTTTCAGGTAACTTGTTTAACGGTCTGATTCCAACATGGTTGGGAAGAATGTCACCATTGCATAATTTAATCCTCGGTTGTAATCAATTTATTGGGGTCATCCCACCGTCGCTAGGGAACCTATCAGCCTTTAGCATACTAGATCTTTCAGTTAACTTGTTTAATGGTTCGATTCCAGCATGGTTGGGAAGAATGTCACGCTCGTATAATTTAATCCTCGGTGGTAATCAATTTATTGGGGTCATCTCACTGTCTCTAGGGAACCTATTAGCCTTGAGAATACTAGATCTTTCTTACAATAAGGGGCCATTTGGAAACTTCTAAAAAAGTGAAAAAGCTAGCTTTTTACTTATTTTAAATTGCATCACCTCTTACATAAAAAAGTCAAATTTTAACCATTTTTTCAAAATACCCCTAAGTTAAATGGGACCATTTCTGTTTTTTTTAGAAATTATTTAGGGATAAATGAAATTTAAAATGAAGGTTCTCATGTCATGTTAGTAATTTTTGTTTGATTATATTAATAATGGAATAAAATTGATTAAAATCAAATAATTTAAATATAAAATTAATATTATTAAAAAATCAAAATTAAACTGAATTTTAAGTAATAGCACGAAAGATAAAATAACATTTTTTATTTCATAAAATAAATGAGCATTTTATATGTGTCGTAGTTATCTTGTCTAACTTCTAATTATGAAAAGTTTTCACTTTTGTTATTATAGTTTTAAATTAAATAATTTAGTGCCTGCACTTTAAATTCGTTTCATGATTTAGTTTTTCCATCTAAAATTTTGTTAATTTTTTTTATGTGTACATCTTAGAAAGATGATGAGTATTTTAAAATAGTTAACTTTAACTTTTAACTTAAATGAAAAAACTAAATCAAATTTAAATTTAAAATTTAAAGATCAAATTATTGAGTTAATAAGTCTCTGTGTTAACCAACAACAAATTAGAATATGACCAACCAACCCACTTTCTATTTGCTTCTTCCTCCTTTCCTCCTCTATCGGGATAAATTCTTACAGCAAGATAGTAATTTTTTTTTTTTCAAACAATAATAGATAATTTGGGGGAATTAACAAATCAGTTGAAAGTTGGAAAAAAAAAATTCAAATTAATGTTAAAGTTTACAAATTTTAATTATTAAATTCATAAATTTTTCCAAGTGTTTTTAATTATTTTTTAAAAGTTACCTTGATTTGTAATTTCCCGTAAAATTTGAAGTACAGATCATTTTATCACAATTTGAAATACAAAAATTTCGCATTTAGTGAGAAACCTATTAAATGTGTGGGTTTCCTTTTATGTGGAGTTCAGTATTTTTATTTTAAAGTCTATTGATCATTTACATTATTTTTAGTTGCTTCAACCTTACTTAAAAAGAGGTCAACCAAGTCCTATTGAACTTATGAAATTTATTATAATTTTACCAAATCTTAGAAGATGCAAGTATAATTTGCCTTTTCATTTAGATAGTGTGTAGTCTTATTATTAGTTAGTGGTAACAGATGATTAAACGGAACACTGCCTCTAGCATCATAGAAGAAAGAGTTTTAAATTTGATTTGCTATGATGATTTTTTTATTATACTTAATGGATTATTATTAAATTTGTTTGATGGATATATTTTGATTTATAATATAAATTGTTTGGTGGTTTTTTTTTTTTTTTTTTTTTTTTTTTTTTTTGTAGAGTGGTGTATAATAGCTAGTTGATTTAGTGACGAATTTTTTAGTCATTTGTACTTGTTATTATGACAAAGTGATTATTCATTACTAATAAATATTTTTTGTGACAAAATTTATTGTAGCATATATATGAAAGTTTTCATTAATTTTGTTGTTTGGTGACTAAAAATTTTGTCACGTGTACATATTTTTGCAACGAAATATACTTTGTCATCCATGTCTGACTTTTGGAGATAAAAAAATTCGTCAACTTTACATCTTATTATGGAGAAATTTTTTCCTCATCAATGATCAACATATGTGACAAATTTATTCGTCAACTAAAATTATAAATATGGTACTGAATAACTATTTGGTGATGAAAATGAGGATTTTTGGCGACAAAATGTGATTTTATTGGTGACAAAAAATTTCGTCACTAAAGTAATTTCATTGGTGACGAAATTATTTTTCATCACGGCAATTTTTAGTGACAAACATTCAATGACGAAATCGGTGAGAAAAATATTTCCCCACAAATATCTGTAGTGACAAAATTAGCTATTTGGAGACAAAAAAAAATTGTTATTCGAAACCCAACTTGTTGTAGTGTTTTTTTCAGGGTTAAAATCTCAACTTAATCAACATGTTATAATTTATTGGGTCCATTATAGATTCTGTTTTGATGGTTCAAATGGTTTATTTTGTAGAGTCTTGTGTATCTATTTGATAATCGTAATATTTTATTTTATCACATTTGTCTTTAAAAAAGTGAATGACAAATATACTCTTAAAAATAGATCATTTATTTTTTTAGAGATAAATACAATAAAATGAAAATGTTAAAATTATCGAATTGAGTTAATTTTTTTTAAGGTTATTATACAAAGAGAATAACATTAACATTTGGTGAACTCACACAAGCCTTGACATAATGCTCAAATTTAGATTTTAAACTTAAAAGAATTTATATTAAAAATAAATAAATATTTATATATGTGCACAAATTTATTTGAAATAATCCTTACTATATTTTGAATGAATTAAAATTACACTTTAAATTATCTATGCATATTTTTGTTTTGTTTTGTTTTGTTTTGTTTTTTTTTAATTTTGTTTTTTTTGAAATACCTTCACCCTAAAAAGCATACCAATCATAACCATACAGCAAGGAATAGTTAGTCATTCAACAACTAGCTAGATATAATTCTACGAGAAAATATTATTTTGACTTTTAAATTATTACTCAAAATTAATTTAATCTCTGTTATTTTAATAATATCAATTTTATATTTAAATTATTTGTTTTTGCATTAATTTTACTCTCACTGTCAATTATTGTCTATAGTTAAATGGAAGTTGCTAATATGGCATTCAGACTTCAATTGAAGTTTCATTTTACCCCTGAAACTATCCTCAAAATATTAATTAGACAATTGAATAAGACAAAATTTGGAGGTCTGAGTGATATTTTAGAGATGATTTGGGAATAAAATGAAATTTCAAATCAAATTTGGGTGCTATGTCACCAACTTTCGTTTGAAAAATACAAACGTCAATTAACAAAGGTGATAGGCAGTGGTAGCGGCACTACAAGAAAATGGGGCTTAAAAGACAGAACTATTTGCGACGGTACACTTGCTGTCGCAAAAAGTGACTTTTTGCGACGGTAAAAAAATACCGTCTCAAAAAACAGAGTATTTGCGACGGTAAAAAATGCCGTCTCAAAAAACCCTACATATAGTAATATCATGGGGTGGTTTGGGATGTTTTAAATAAGTGCATTTTTTGACTTCTTATATATAAAAAAAATGTGTAAGAAAGTAGAGAAAATGGATAGAAAAGTAGAAATGAGATGTTGATAGATATTGATTACTGTGATCCAAATAAGTACATGTATGCAAAAAAAAGTGCACCTTTTTAGTGCATGCCAAACACCTACCAAATTTATGAACTTTCTAAGGGAAAAAATAGAAAGAAGTGCACTTAAACAACTACAATACAACCACCCATCCATCCATGCAAACACTACAAAAACAGCGAAGGGAAGAACGCAAATTATTGTGATTTCATTTGCCATTCTACTTATTAAATTGAGCCACTCTCACTGTTATAGCTGCTAGTACATTCTCTTTGGTCATATCAACGAATCGAAAATAAGCATGTCTCCAGTTCTTCTTGAACAACAAAACTCCAATAACTCTCCATAACCTTAGGGCATAGCCACTCATTATAACCAAGTAAAACCATACCTTTTTAGACTCGCCTCTTTCATTTGTTTCTTCATGACTTGTGTATGTCGGAGGAGGTTAAGAATGTCTGTCAATAGAGCATTTCTTTGGTATAAAAGCTCCACAAAGTTCACTATTGCCAACGCAAATAGAAGGGTCATCAAGAGTTTTAAGCTGATTTCTTGTTGGAATGCGTCCTGAGAGGTTATTGTATGATAAGTTCAAGTGGCCCATAAAACTCAAATTTGGCATGCTCTCTGGAATTGTGCCTGAAAGTTGATTGTTAGAGAAATTAAGAGATTCTAACGACTTTAAACCACCGATATTCTTAGGGATGCTTTCTGTCAAATTATTATGCGATAAATTAAGTCCAAGCAAAACTGAAAAAAGTGGGAGATCTTCAGGGATTGTTCTAGTCAAATTATTTCTTGAAAGATCCATGTTCACTAGATATACTAGCGTAGTGCTGTATTCTAGTTCAATTCCGTGCATGACTTGTATCATGTTCACATATTTCTATCAAGCAAACTCAAATAAGACAGATTCACCATTCAAGACCATACTAGTAAGATTGCCAAAACAACGAGGGGTGGTTTTTTTAGGTTATTGTTTGCAAGGTCTATGATTCAGAGACCTAACAGTTGGCATAACTGTGAAGGAATCATGTCATTGAACATATTGCTGTGCAATCTCAGAATTCTCAAGGATTCTAATTCTCCAATCCATTCAGGTATGTTTCCAAAGAAACCATTCTCACCAAGATCCAAAACTAATAAATGTGTGCAATTTCTCAAACCCAAAGGAAGCTCTCCATAAAGACTATTGTTATTCAACTGTAACCAATACAGTCCAGATAAATGTCCAATAAAGCTTGGAATAATCCCTGAAAGGTTGTTAGATGAAAATTTATAACCCGTGGATTTGGAATTTCCCATGAAACTCCTCGACCCTAAGGAAGATTTCTAAATAACATATTCTTAGAGAGATCTAGTTCATTCAAAGTCACTATTTTGCACAATGAATGAGGTATCAAACCATTTATCAAATCGTCAGTTAGTAAGAAACTCTCTAAAGTAGGCGTCATATCGCCAATATTTTGTGGAAGGGGTCCTGAGATATAGTTATGGTAGAGCTCAACTTTGTATTGGTCAATTACCAAATTGGATGGGACAACTTAAGCATTTGAGATACCTTGATCTTTCAAGTAACTTGTTTAATAGTCTGATTCCAACATCGTTGGTACAACTTAAGCATTTGCAATACCTTGATATTTCAAGTAACTCATTTTATTTGATTCCATCATGGTTGGGAAGAATGTCAACCATGCATAATTTAATCCTCAGTGATAATTATTTTGTTGGGGTCATCCCACCGTCACTAGGGAACCTATCAGCCTTAAGAGTACTAGATCTTTCTCACAATAAGTTAAATGGTACCATTCCTGTTTCTATTGGACAATTATCAAATCTCAAGATCTTAGATCTCTCTTTTAATTCCCTGGAAGGCGTAGTACTTTTTGAAACTCATTTTGCCAACCTCTTAATGTTGGACGAATTGAGAACAAGGTATGCCTTCTTGACATTGAAGGTGAGATCTGATTGGATACATCCTTTTCAATTGAAATCCATTCTAATGAGGTCCTGCAGAGTAGGGATTCAATTTCCTCAATGGCTTCTAACACAAAAGAAAGTTGTTGAATTGGATCTTTCCAATACTAGTATATCAGGAACCCTTCCTAAATGGCTTCATGACATGCCTATCTTGGAATTATATCTCTCTCATAACCATATCAGTGGGACCATTTTGAAATTTCCTTCCATGGTGAACATAGTTGATCTCTCCCATAATTATATCCCAGGACTCATTCCACAAAATATTGGCGATATGGTGCCTACTTTAGAGAGTTTCTTACTAGATGACAATTTGATAAATGATTTGATACCCAATTCATTGTGCAAAATTGTGACTTTAAATGAACTAGATCTCTCTAAGAATATGTTATTTGGAAATCTTCCTCAGTATCAGGGAGTTTCAGGGGAAATCCCAAATATACGGGTTATAAAATTTTCATCTAACAACCTTTCAAGGATTATTCCAAGCTTTATTGGACATTTGTCTGGACTGTATTGGTTACAATTGAATAACAATAGTCTTTATGGAGAGCTTCTTTTGGGTTTGAGAAATTGCACATGTTTATTAGGTTTGGATCTTAGTGAGAATGGATTCTCTGGAAACATACCTGGATGGATTGGAGAACCAGAATCCTTGAAAATTCTGAGATTTCACAACAATATGTTCAATGGCATGATTCCTTCACAGTTATGCCAATTGTTAGGTCTCCAAATCATAGACCTTGCAAACAATAACTTAGAAAAATCCATCTCTTTTTGTTTTGGAAATCTTATTGGCATGATCTTGAATGGTGAATGTTTTGGAATTGAGGTACTGGAATGGTCAAATGAGAACATGATACAGACAATGCACGAAAATGAAGTCGAATACAGTACTACACTATTATGTCTAGTGAACATGGATCTTTCGAGGAATAATTTGACTGGAACGATCCCTGAAGAGCTCTCACTTCTTTCAAGTTTGCTTAGGCTTAATTTATCGCATAATAATTTGACAAGAAGCATTCCAATTTGACAAGACGCATTCCTAAGAATATTGGTAGCTTAAAGTCATTAGAATCTCTTGATTTCTCTAACAATCAACTTTTAGGCACAATTCCAGAGAGCATGTCAAATTTGAGTTTTATGAGCCACTTGAACTTACCATACAATAACCTCTCAGGACGCATTCCAACAGGAAATCAGCTCCAAACTCTTAATGACCCTTCTATTTACGTTGGTAATATTGTACATCGTGGAGCTTTTGTACTAAAGAAATGCTCTATTGATGGACATTCTCAACCTTCTCCGATATCTACAAGTCATGAAGAAACATATGAAGGAGATGAGTTGAAAAAGGTATGGTTTTACTTGGTTATAATGAGTGGCTACGCCACAGGGTTATGGAGAGTTATTGGAGTTTTGTTGTTCAAGAAGAACTAGAGACATGCTTATTTTCGATTTGTTGATAGGACCAAAGAGAATGTACTGGCAGCTATAGCAGTGAGAGCGGCTCAATTTAATAAGTAGAATGGCAAGTGAAATCACAATGATTTGCTTTTTTCCCTTCTCTGTCTTTGTAGTGTGATTAAGGCCCAAATGTACATCATTGAGGTCGTTAATTATAATCTCTTAACTTCACTTGCTGGTCAAACTGTATATTTTATGTGTGCTGAGTGTCAATCAGGTTATACATCGTCGGAGCATAAAATGAGCTAAAAGACAGAATTTGGGCAGAGTTGACTTTCCCGCACGTGCGTTGACTTTTTCGCACGTGCGTTGACTTTTTCGCACGTGCGTTGACTTTTTCTGGGAAAGTCAAACCGACGTTTTAAACCTGTTTGGACGAGATTGGAAGTATAAAAAGGCAAGTAAAAGGCTGGATTAGGGGTCTGAAATTGTTTGGACCTAAAGAGAGAGGCTAGGGTTTGAAAAAAAGGAAGAAACAAGAAGCTTCAAAGATGTCTCCCATGGTGGTTCCTTCTCCATCTACCTCCGCCCACTCCTCCATGAGTGGCTATTCTCCTTTTCTAGGGTTTTGAAGAAACCCTAGCCATGTAATAGGTTTTTCTTTTTTGATTTTATATTATGTAAAGGTTTAAACTATTGTATGGTGTTTTAGAAATTCTTTATATATAATTTTCATTTTCTTTTCAAATATTTGACTTTCTGTGATTGTTGAATATTATCCATACATGAGTTTTCTATTTCTTCACATTCAAGGTATGGGACGAACCATGCTACGAGGAACGAGTCGTATCACTACCCTAGTTTAGAGTGAACGATTCGTATTACTTGAGATGGTTCGTGCTCGTACATTGAATGTGATGATCTTCTTGTTAAATGCTTTGAGCTTGTAGTTGCGAAGCATTAATCCGTTCAAACCATAGCATAATTAATTTCAATTGGAAACCCTAATTATGTGGTTAGTGGTGAATTCTCTACCCTAGGATTTTTTCCTAATTCAGTAAATCCAATTTCATTTATTATTGATAATTTAATTCCTTAGTTTAATTTATTTGTTATTAAATTAGGTTATGATCATTAAATCTTTTTATCAAAATTAATTTAGGAATTTAACAATTAAATTAGTTTAATTTCACAATAGTCCCTATGGATCGATACTTGGACTTGCCATTATTCTGATTGAATTTGATATAGTTTAGTACTTAATTTTGGTGTGTTCAACGACCCATCAAATTTTGGCGCCGTTGCCGGGGACTTCTGGCGAAATTAGTTAATTTAAAGTTACATTCTTATTTTAATTTTTAGTTTAGGATTTTATGCTTTTGGTGTTGCTAAGTGTGCAGAGCGTTTGAAATTGGAGCTATCACTGAAGTGCAAGCGGAGCGCAGCCGAGCTTTAAAAAAAAAACCGCAGCGCTAAAGTAAAGTGAGTAAACAGAAGCAAACACTCACAAGCAAAGCACCAAAGCGCTAAAACGAAAATCAAAGCTCAAATAGAGGTTGGAGACAACGTCTACACGTCAAGCATCCGCAAGACGAGTAAAGTGTTTTCGTTAAACCGCTGTGAGTATTTCTTTCTTTGGTATTTTGCTTTCATACTTAGTGCACAGAGTCGGTACTTGTTGTGTGTGTTTGGGTAGTGTATGCACGGGCGTCGTTCTTGTTGCCCTGAATTGTGGAGTTTGGACCTTGAACTAGAAAGGACCCTTAGGAGACTTAGGACCTCTGCTCGTATTCCTAGGCTTGAATATTCATACATTGAGCCATTAGAGATGGCAGATCCTAATGTCCCGAATGTGCCTAACCGGACCCTTAAGGATTATTTTACACCCACTGCATATACATCACCATCATGCATCCAATTGCCCAATTCCACTGCTGCTTATTATGAGATTAAGTCCAGCACTATACAAATGCTCCCATCATTCCATGGAATAACTCATGATGACCCTTATAAGCATTTGAATGAATTTCTGGAAATTTGCTCGACAGTGAGGATCCAAAATTTCACAAATGAGGCCTTAATGTTGCGATTGTTTCCATTCTCGTTAAAGAATAAAGCCAAACACTGGCTAAATTCTCTACCTGCTAATTCAATCGCAACTTGGGACCAATTACAGCAACGGTTTTTGGAGAAGTACTTTCCCATAGGTAAAACCAACTAACTTAGGCGAGCCATCACAAACTTTGCTCAAATGGATGGCGAGCAATTCCATGAGACGTGGGAAAGACTTAGAGACCTTCTCCAACAGTGTCCCCACCACCAAGTGCCTGATTGGCAACTTGTTCAAACATTTTATTATGGCTTAACTGAGCCACACCACCAAATGGTGGATTCGTCCTGTGGTGGGACATTTATGTCTAAAAATGATGCCGAGGCATGGCAATTGTTTAAGAATTTAAGTGATAATTCCCTTCACCATGCCTCCGCAACCCGGCAAGTCCGGCAACCCGTAGTTGGAGCCCCAAAAAGAGGGGGCATTTATGAAGTCGGGCAAAACCTAGAGTTAGCCCAACAAGTAGAGGCACTGTCCCGCAAGATAGACCACTTATTAGCTACGGGACATGCCCCTACCCAGCAAGATCAGCCTCAATTCCGTGAGGCATGTGTTATATGTGCGAGCCCTGCTCATGACTTGAGTGAGTGCCCTTCGGCATCACAATTTCCGGAGTTAGTCCAAGAGCATGTGAATGTGGCTCAAGGATTCTCCAACCCAGGTAATGACCCATACTCCAACACATATAATCCGGGATGGAGAAATCACCCTAACTTCTCATGGAGACCCCCATCACAAGGCACTTCTTATAATCCTCCACCACCAAGGCAGAATTTCAATAATTTTGCCAACCAATCATCCTACCAACCACCGCAACCTTATCAACCCCCACAACTGTACCGGCAACCACAACCCCTGCCTGTTCCTCAGGGCAACTCTGCCTTTGAGATTCAGGTGTTGGAAGTTCTTTCAGAACTTAAGGGGTTAGCACCGATAGTTCACTCCCACACTCACTCTATTGCCAAGATAGAGACCCAATTGGGTCAAATAGCTAACTACATGAATCAAAGAGAGGAGGAAAAATTACCAAGTCAAACTGTGGCCAACCCTAAGGGACAATATAGGGCAGAGAGTTCGGGTGGGGATGGTAAGCAACATGAGCAAGTGCAGGCGGTGGTTGTTTTAAGAAGTGGTAGGGAGTTAGAGCCTCAGTCAGTTGCGTCTGATGCAACTAGAGTTAGGAAGGGTGACCACGGTGGTTCACCTAGAGAGAATAAGGGTGAGGGGGAAACACTTAAGAGGGATGACTTAGTCTCTAACACTTCATTTGAGCCCTAGGCACCATATGTGCCTAAGGCACCCTTTCCCCAGTGCCTTGATACACCGTCCCCTTTTAATAAGAAGGCGGCATCTATGGAGGCAATGATGGAGGTCTTTAAACAGATAAAAATCAACCTCCCCCTGTTGGAGGCGATTAAGCAAGTACCATCATATGCCAAATTTTTTAAGGATCTTTGTACGCAAAAGCGTAAATCTAGGACACATGTATCCCAAAAAGTTCTACTCACGGAGCAAGTAAGCTCCATCTTGTTGAATGACACACCTCCTAAGCTTAAGGACCCAGGTGCCCCAACCATTGCATGCATTATAGGGGACCATTTCATTGATAGGGCCTTATTAGATTTGGGGACTAGTGTCAATTTATTGCCGTACTCTGTGTACGAGGAATTTGGGCTTGGCGAGTTGAAGCCCACTACTGTCACTCTTCAATTGGCTGACCGGTCCCTCAGAGCGCCACGTGGCATGATTGAGGATGTGCTACTTAAGGTTGATAGGTTCTACTTCCCTGTTGACTTTTTGGTGTTAGATATGGAACCGGTAACCAGTTCTAAGAAAAAAATCCCGGTGATCTTAGGTCGACCTTTCTTGGCTACGGCCAATGCATACATAAATTGTCGGACTGGGGTTATGGAAGTTTCATTTGGCAACATGCAAGTGAAACTTAATGTTTTCCAAGCATCCCAACAACCTCATGAGAGAGAGGAGTGCTTATTAGTGGATGTTGTGGATGAGATTGTGGAGGAGGCTTTGCCCTCCATCCTTGTAGAGGACCCTTTAGAGGCTTGTCTAGGTCATTTTGGGTTTGAAAATTTTGATATTGATGGGTCAGTTAAGGAGGTTTTGAAATTGTTGGATGCGGATATCATATACCCCATCTCAGATAGCAAGTGGGTGAGTCCTACACAAGTGGTGCCCAAGAAATCGGGCATCACCGTTGTTGAGAATGAGGGAGGAGAGTTAGTCCCCACACGAACCACTGTTGGGTGGCGAGGCTGCATTGATTATAGGAGACTAAATTCCTCGACTAGGAAGGATCATTTTCCTTTACCCAGGAGTTTGATGGACCCATTTTATTATGATTGATAAATTGATTTCTTGTTCTCTTTTCTTTCCCTTCTATGCTATTATGTTTTTCTTTGTTCTCGTTATGCTTTACTTGCATCTAGGAGACTTTAAATCCTCTAAAGGTGTAATTCCTTTGGTGTTTGCCGTGCCCGAACGGCATCTGACGGTCTGGTATAGCCACCTAACCGTGTTTGTAGTGAGTTCTTAGGAGACCAACTGAGACGGTGGAAACTAGAGTTCGAATGGCAAAGCCTAGAACACAAAGGTTTGGGATTTCCGAGACTAGAGTCTGGTTTAAATACCCAGGGGTGTGGAGATTGCTTCAAAACTACCTCGGCTTGAACTCTGTATGGCAACCCCATAGGTTAAGGTAGCTTTATGCGCCTCGATTCTGGATACCGAATCAACCTAGTCTGTCACTCTGTTGGAGAATAGGGAAAGTTACAAACACAGTTAGGGAGAAAAGTAGTACCCGTGTTTTTAGCGTGAAGATTATACCCTTGTTAGGCATTCCAATAGTTTCCAAAGTGCTATATTTATTTTGGATGTCAAATGAAGGTAGAAATGGTTTAGT